ATATATTAAAACAAACATTAATGGCCTGAAAGTTGCATTTCTTCGTATATATGCCCCAAACCAGTTTAGTTCAGATTTCTTTGAAATCACTGGGAGGACTCTAAGTAATCTGCTGACATGAATGCCATCCTTGATCTGTAACTGGACAGATCTAGTACACCCTCACAGAACACAATCCATCTACAGTAGCACTCCAAGGGCTGATACATGATTTCAGAGCTATAAATCCTTCTGCAAGACAATACAGTATCTATTCAGATAGACATAAAAGCTATTCAAGGATTGATTACTGTTGGGATTCACAGGACCACAGATGATTTATCATTTGGTAAAATCATCACTGGGCATTTAAAGGCTTTTTCCTCGGCATGCTCTTTGTCTTCAAACAAAGAGAGCTAGGTGACACCCATCTCCACAGGAGGTCTCACCTCACACCTCAGTGAGACACAAGTCTCACAAATTGATTGGACAGGACTTTTACAGTGACATGTGACTCTGTGATGTCACAGGCCTGCAAAGATCTGCTCCCTTCCAACAGATCTCTCTCTCTTGCTCTGGAGCTTCAACAGCTCACACCTCTTTCCGGCTGGACCTGGAACAGCAGAGGCCCAGACCCTTGCTCCATAGCCCAAACCACTAAAGGGAGGGCAACTGATCACAGACTCTCTTGCGAACACAAGGTTTGCAACTAGCTTTCCAGCAACAAGGAACTAAGTGAGTTAGCACCCAGCGTCTAACTCTGCTAAACCCTGAGCGACCAGCTTCCTCGGAGTTTCACCTTTGGAACAAAGGACCCAACAAAGACTGCGCCTGGAACCATCTTCCCAGCCTTCTTCTGCCGGCTAACAAAGCAGTACACCACCAAGTTACTCTTTCTCCCATCCATTCAAGGATCAGTAACGTAACAACTGGGCATAGCTTATCACAGCTTTACAGGCTAAGCAAGACTGTTTAACTTGTTGTATGTGATTTGATGCTGTTTACTGAGTTATTGTTGTGATAGACTGCAGTTAGGTCACTGATTATTTGGCTTCGCCAAAGCTAAGTGTTTAGTTTGCTAATACTGTTCACAAACAGATTCTTGCATTTAACTAAACAATTTCTGCTTTAATTCTGACCTTTTGCAACATATTTCACATTTATATATACTCATTAACAAATAGGCTTTCAACAGAGCTACACCCAAACAGGCATCTTTAAGTTCCCGCTTCTTTTCCTTTGTCTTTGTCCCGACCACACGGTCAGACAGACACCTCCCCCGGCTGGAAGCCAGCCTTGATTCAGCCATTTTGGTAGTTCTCTGTTGTCAACCATTTTGTTTTGTAGGCCAAACACCTCTTTGATCACCACACCTGCCTTTGTCTTTCTTTCTCTTCTTTCTCTCTCTCTCACACACACCACACACATATACACACCAAGCTTGTATATAGTTAGTTAGAATTTGTGTGTTTTGGTTTGCTAGTTTGTGAATAAATATAATTCTTTGGAATCATGCCTGCTGTCTGTTTAATGTTGTACAGGAATGAATGAATAGTCAACCTCTGCTGCGTCAAGAACTCCGAAATCCTTCAGGCATTACCGTTAATTTTGGTTGTTGTCATTAATTTAATTATTAATCAAACTCCAAATTAATAGTTCAGCCTATTTTATGAGACTGATATCTTTAACTGGCCATCATTTTTTCCTTTACGGGAATGGTGCTCCACGAGGTGATTTAATGTTAATTAAGTCACATTATTTAACACAATTATTAATTATTAATAATAATTATTAATTATTTGCGATAGCCAATTAAATCCCAAGATATTTGGTGCCTCCGTGTTAAGCCCGAATTTATGTTCCCAACATTTTCGGTGTCGCCGTGTGAGATAAATATATGTTGGCCCCAACAATTACTTACTGGCTTCTATGACTTCATTTTCTCAAATTCACTCTGCCGTTTTTTTCCCTGTTTATCTGACCATAGTGCTATCACCTCACTGCTTACACTAGCAGACACTACTACTAGGGCCAAAAGATGGCACTTTAACACAATGTTACTTAAAAACAATGATTATTGTAGACACTTCAGAAACACTTTTAAAGTTTTTATTTCAGAGAGTTCCAATTCAGTCAAAGATCCTCGGGTTCTGTGCGGTGCAATTAAAGGTTTTATAAGCAATACAACAATTTCCTTTGCTTCGCACCTTAATCGAACAAAACTGGGCAAAACTAACACACTTGAACATGTTTTGCAAAGGTTAGAACATGACCAACAAAAAGATGGTTTTACTGAAGAACGTAAAGGGAAAATTGATTCAGTCAGACTGAACCTTAAGAAGTTACTAAAAATTAGAGCAGAACTCGAAATTCATAGGGTCAGGAGGAATTATTATTTCTATGGATCCAGACCAAGTCGTCTCCTTTCTTTGAGTTTACAGAAATGTGAAAAGTATGTAAATATTATGGCCATTAGCTCAGAGCAGCAGTTAACTTACTTCTCTTAAAGAAATAAATGCAGAGTTCTCTTCATCTTACTCTGAACTTTATATATCTGAAATAACATTAGATAAAGATTAATGTAAATCCTTTCTGAAAGATCTCAATCTCTCATCTCTTACTCAAGAGGATAATGAGCATCTTGGTGAACCAATCACTCTGACTGAATTAAAGAATGCTATAGCACGGATGAAAAAAAGGCAAATCTCCAGGATGGGACAAGATCCCCCCAGAATTTTATCTTGCCTTTTGGGATGAGCTTGGACATTACCTTTCAGCTATGATCCATAGAGCCATCGATGTAGGTGCCTTTTTTAATTACATGAATACTTTAATTGCTGTACTGCCCAAACCTAACAAAGACACAACTAAATATAGTAATTACAGGCCATTATCCATCCTTAAATAATTAATAATCTATGAAAAACTCATTAATTAATAAATAATTAAATTCTTTGCACGGATCTTCGCCTCCCGCTTACAACCCCATATAACAAAATTAATTTATTACGATCAGACAGGTTTCATGAAATCACGGCTCGCTTCTGATAATGTTCGCCGACTACTCCACATAATTCATAATGCTAAAGATATTGCTTCTCCTTGCGCAGTGTTGAGCCTTCATGCTGAAAAAGCCTTTGATAGGCTAGAATGGGAATACTTAAGGGAGACCCTGCAACATTTTCACTTGGGTCCCAATTTCATTAAATCAATACAATTATTATATAGTAACCCAACTGCAATGATAAACACTAAACAGCATTATATCAACCAAAATTGCCTTATCACAGTCCTGAAGACAAGGTTGCCCTTTAAGCCCTTACTTATTTGCTGTCACTGGAGCCCCGCTCTCAGAAAATTCGGCAACACCCATCTATCACCCCCATCACTTTCAATAACACCACTCATTCCATATTGCTGTATGCTGACGACATACTCTTATATTTTGATAGGGGACCCGCGTAAGTACCTCATATTTGAGATACTTTTGGGGAATTTAGTTCTCTATCTGGGTATAAAATCAATTGGACAAAATCAGCACTTTTCCCATTAAATTCAAAATTGAATCCCAGTGCATTACCCCAGCATAGTGTTGCACGGTATACCGGTACTAAAATAGTACCACGGTACTAGAGTATTCCAAATGGTACTATACTTCATTCGGAAAATACCGGTACTTTGAAACTGATTTAATTCATTAATTTAGTTAATTTATTTTACTCAATTATGCACACAAACACCTTTCTTGTTCCTAGTGGAGCACAGATTGCGCAAGTGGTGTGTATGACAACACCTGTATCAACATTCACAGCTGGCGCACGTGAAAAAAGACGAGAAAGTCTGCCTCACAAAGGGAGACAACACGAGACAACACAAACTTGGTGGAACATTTGAGTTACCAAACAGTGACGTCCGTACCGAGGTACTTACTGAACCATGATTTTTTTTTTTGGTACCGTTACACCCCTACTATTTATAGTTCTAAAGGTTTGTATCCAAAAGGACTTTTCCTTAGGAAAAGTACCGAAGAGTATCGCAAAATAATCGAAATTCATATTGGTATTGGTACCGAAACAAAGATTTTGGTATCGTGACAACACTACCCCAGCATATCCCTATTGTCAATCAATTTAAGTACTTGGGGATAGATATTTTCCCTTCATTGGCTAGTATTGTTTATAAAAACTTTAAAGGAATCTATAACAAAACTGAATCATGGAGCACTGAAGGAGTTCACACATTTGCAGATATTCATGATGAGAACGGGCTCCGCAATTTTAACAATTTAAGACTAACTGTCCACCCATAACCACCCATTCCTTGCACTCCATTTTGGTCAACAGAGGATAAAAAAGAGGTGTCGTCACCCAACTATATTCACTCTTCCTGAGTGCTTCCTATAAAGCTCTTTCCATTACACAAGTATGGACTGAGCACCTGAAACACTACACTGGAGAGGTTTTGACTGACTGGGAGAGGATATGGTCCTCAATTGTCATTGTCTCCAAAAACCTAGATCACCAACATATTCACTTCAGTTTTATTCATAGGACTTACCTCACACCGAGAAAGGCTTATCTCATGGAACAGTTATCATCCCCAGACTGCACTTTGTGCACAGAAGGACTCACAGGTTCCTACATGCATACGTACTGGGAATGCACCACAGGTCTATTGTTCTCTTTTGTTGTTTGTTTTTATTTTATTTCATGTACATGTTGTACTGCTTTTTGTTATCATGAAGCAAAATACAATAAAAAGTTGATCCAAAAAAAAAAAAAAAGAGCAAGTTAGCTGTTCGGAGGCATGCAGACTGCCATCTACTGTATGTCATACACTGACTATAGGCAAGTACCCCATACAGCTCCACTTAAAAAAATCCAAACTAACTGTTGTGGGTTGGGTTGCAGAGCTGGTGATGATGATGATAGGTGTATGTGTGGTTCCATAGAAACAAAATAAAAAGACATACAAAATGGTGTTTCATCCAAAACAACCATTTTCTGCCGACTATATCTCACCTGCAGCAAAGAGAGAGCCCACAGTTTCCTGATCTTCACACAGCACAGGGAGGATCGAGACACCAACACACCAACTTGGTACAGTGTCTGGTACCTGAGCACACACAAACTAATTACTAAATTGAAGCCTAAATTCTCAGATAATTTAAATAAAGTGATTCCTTCAGAATTATACTCTAATGAGTTTAACTGACCAGCGATACTGCTCTGCATGGGACAGGAAAACTTCGGGGAAATACAGTAGTTCCATCTGAATAAGAAAATGTCTACATTATTTTGGGCTCAATATTATGACAAAACTTGTTATACTTTTAAATATCTAAATATTTTTTCAATATATTACATCTCATTACAACTACACAGCCACAACGGAATTGGGTTTGGCTTAACACCATGCAGTAACATAAGTGTGATGCCAGAGGGCACCAGAGTACTTACCAAGCCCTGGTTGATGAAGTACTCGGCAAAGTATACCAATCCCAGAGGAAACACAAACTTCAGCAAGCCCTGCTCACAGGAATCAAGTACAGTTAAGTTAAGTGTAACCACACAAATACCCAAATTTAAAGCGAAGACAAGAGTGCACTTACTTTGATGACATGAAGTTTCTCTGTTAAGTTGAGTGTGCTGGTGGTCCTGTCCTCTGTTATATTGAGGGGAGGAGAACAAGGCTTGTGTAGTTATTCAGTAACATACGGCACTACTTTCAGTTCATTCAAATAAACAGTGTAGTGCAGTGCCTGTGTATCAAATGACAAATGGGGGGCAGTGCCTCATTTGCACAGAATATGACACTCATTGACCTCAAGGTGATGCTGTAGCAATCATGTTTACATTTTTGCAATTATCTCAAAAAGGCTTGGTTAAGAGGCAAAAATCTTTCATGGTTTCATTCTTTCAATTCATCTGCATCTTATTTTGAGAACTCATCAGAAACTGTTGGGCTAATCATCCCGAAGCTTTGCCCCAATCATCTATGGACATCAATGATCTAAAGCAGTGGTTCGCACCCCAAAAGTGGGTCACGGATCCATTCTGAATGGACCACAAGTGACTCACAAACATGTCAAGTTTGTAAAAAAACACACTTTATTTTGAAGCACAGTTTTTCTTTTTTTTTTTAAAATTGTGTAGAGTAAGTGAAAACAGGTGTAGATATATATAAACAGTTAAGAAAGAAGATTACATAAAGTGAGAAAGAGTCATAAGATAAAAATAAAGAGCAACTAAATACATCAGAACAAAATAAAACAATATAAAACAAACAAGGAGTAGAGCACAGGCTGAAAGTGATGGGGGTGCAGGCGAAAACAAGTATACTGCAAAGTGTGTTCGTGTGTGTGTGTGTGTGTGTGTGTGTGTGTGCATGCGCATCGGGGCCTAACTCCGCCGTGCGCGATACAGAGAGCAGAGGAGAATTGTAAAGGCACGACCATGTAGAGACAGAAATGACATGCCGTCGTGTGAACAATATAAGTCATCACGTTATAAGGTGAAACGTTTCACCGTATAACACGATAAATAGTATAATGTTATGTTATTATATGAAGCGTCTGTTGTGCAAAATAATATAACTTTATTTAATGAAGAGATAAGACAGAGCCCTCTCCTCTTATATGCTTTACTCACAAGTGTGTGAATTGACCTGGTTATGAAGCGTCCCTAGCGCCAAATAATATATAATATAATAAAGAGCTAAGACGAAAAAAATAAAATAAATCAGCAGCGTGGTGCACCGCTGCTAGTTGCATATAGGGGAAATACTGAAAGAGATGGTGGTTTCACTGAGCAAATGCCTATTTTCAGCACATTTTATGCTGTTGCATTCAAAGCAATATCAGCCTAATAATTCCAGAATGATTAATTCTCCCCAAGTAGAGCTACTGAAGTCCTCTGGTGGAAAATAATGCACCCTTAAAAAAATATATAAATTGTAATATATATTGCTGGGGGCTAAAAAACGCAATGTCAATTTATCCCAATATTGTGCAGCCTTATTAACTACACACCCATTTGTCTTGTATATCTAACATATGGAAGAGGAAAATTAAATAAAATAAATAAATTACAAAAAATTAAATAAGGGGAAAAAAAGAAGAAAATAAATAAGTGACAGTGAATTTCTGGCACAGAGCTTTTATTTTGAAGTGCCATTTCTTGCTGTAGATTGAGTGACTAATGGACAGCTACTTGAAAAAAAACAGCAAACTAGCTCAATGGCATGGCCAAAAGCAAGTATGATGCTAAATATATAAAACTGCATGGACCTTGACCTAATGACTGGACCCCGTGGCTGGACCAGTTGGGAACCACTGATCTAAAGAGATCACCTCACTGCAACCTATACTTAATTCAGAAGTCCGTCACTCTGTGCTAAATCAATTAACATTGATATCTCCACAAGTCTTCATTCAAATGCAGCCAAAACTGACACAGACATTTACTGGATACTAGATATCTGAAACAGACTACTTAAATAGTGTTCAGATCAGTTTAATGGTGAGTCCACAGTGATATTCAATATCTTACTGGAACTTGTGATGTGTGCACATTTTCTATTTCATCACATTTTTAACCAAATGTCACCAAAATATTTGGCAATATACCCAATACCAGCAGAATGATGTGAGATTTTGGGCCGGACAGCATCCCTGGCCTTGTCCTGGAGGCCTGCGCCAATCAAGACTGTCCCCACCGGCTTTGAACAATATACCAAACCTGGCACCCTTGCTGTGCTAAAAAGGCTTCAGGAAGCTGCACACAGTCACTGTACCCAGAAGTGTGCATCCACCATGCATCCCCCCTAAAACTATGATTGCCAATGTCAAGGAATAGTCCAAACCCTTGTTTGTCGTCTGACTTAGTGGCCAAGCTAAGCACATGGAATGGAAGCGGGGAAAAACTGTTAGCCTTGCTATATCAAAAACAGAAAAAAAATCACCTTTTAACAACCTCAAAGCTATCTTACTGACAAGCTGAGCAAAACATGTAAATATCAGTTTGTAGCTATCAGTTTTCTTTGCTACATAGAGTGGATAACATCTTACATATATCAGCTTCCCCACACAGATCCACCCACACACCAATTGCTTTATCACTTCCAATGCAGACATCCGTAAAGAATGACACACAACATCCTCCAACTAATCCAAGATAAAAAAGACTGGGGCCATGAGGTTATCTGACTTACATTTCACCACGTTTTCACAAATGTAATGACTCATTTAGAATGAAACTAAAACTATGTTTTATCACCTTAAAAGCAAAATTCAGATCTTTTTTCCTCACAAAACTGACACATGCCTTCATCTGATTAGATCACAGCAATACACTGCTACTAGGCCTTTCAAATGAATGTATAGCACAAGGACAGCTGATGTTAGAACTCACCCCTCACCAATCAACAAAACAATATATTCATGCATTTCTAAAAGTCCTGCTTTCACTGGATGGGTTTTATGTCAAATTATTTTCAATCATACTAATTTCTTATGTTTTGTTTTTGTTTATAGTGTGGGTTTGTGATGTGTACCTGGGGTTGATTTCTCCTGCTCCTCTTCTTCTGATCCATCCATCAGCTGCTGTCTCTCCTCTGAGCCCACAGCTGTATATTCTGTATCCCTGCTTTTCCACTGAGGTAATGAACGTGGAAGAACCAGCAGGAAAAAATAGCTGGTGGTGGTGTTTGGACAAGCAAAACTTTTGAGAAGAATCATGTCATTTGAACTTTGAGTAAAATAAGAGAAGGATGAACAGAGAAAAAAAGCTAAGACACAAATGCAAGGACTAAAAGCAGGTCAGGTTAACTTGACTGTGTAATCCAAAATTATTGTCAACAAAGTAATATAGTAAACAATAACAGATTCAAAGACAGTAGCCACTCTTTGGACTTTTTAAATCCCGTTTCTGTTTTCTGTTTCTTTCTGTTCTGTAAAAGAAATGTGAAAAGGTGCAATAAGCATTAACTTTAAGTGTACAGTGTGAGATGTGTGACATGCATACACAACAATCTGTCTATACTTGGTCTGCACACAAAGGGACAGGTCAAAATTACGAAACGTAGATATAATCGGACCATATTTGTTATTGTCTGTTGCAAGTGTCAAATCCTCATCAGTTGTCGATTGACATAACTTTTTTCTTATCTTTTCTCTTTGTCACTTACCAAATCAACATTGCAAATGGGACCACCAGCATGATGCGAAGCGTTATTTGGGGAGACAGGCCAACTTGGGTGAGGCCTGAGTATAGGAGGGCTCCAGCAACACCAGCACCACCAGTACCTGAGCCCCAACCTGCCAGTACATCCCTGAGTCAACAAAACACTGATTACAATCCAAACTAAATATCTTTATAAGACATACTGCAGTGTATTCAATTGCAGTTACAATATATATGCATACACATGATTTGTTACACCATCAGCAGCTACCAGACTTTATTACTGACAATCTTCCAATTTTCAACTGGTTCATGACATGACATGAGGTATTCAAATCATCTTTCAGAAACTTGAAGCTTGTGTGTGTATGTGTGTGTGTGTGTGTGTGTGTGCGTGCGTGCATGTGTATGTGTATGGTCACATTGTTGTCACATGGCATTGTGGTTGCAAAGAGGAAGTACATCTTCCCTTAAGTTTTATCTAATGCCTAGTATGCACTTCTTGACCTTAGCCTTGACTTTCCATTTGCCATTTGCCAAGCCCCAGATTTAGAGCAATTTCAAAATTCCAGACTTGTGTTAACTCAAATTTTCAGACTTTTTGTAAGATTTTTTAGACTATCATTGACATCTGAGTACAAATAGCTAGATGCTCATTGTGTAAATAAACGGTTTTGAAATCCAACTGTTAACATCTTTGTTACATTCTGACTATGTCTACTATTATCTTACTTACTAATCTTACTAAATTATTGCCAGAAGATTTTAGGTAGGTACAGAAGCTCAAACAAAACACCAAAATTTTATTTTTGACTCTTGTGATGAGAATTCTATGACAAGAAAACAGTGCTTTTGTACTTGCATATGGCTTAGACAACAAAATGCTAACAATAATTATCTTGATATAATTTTCTTCCCTAGAGATAAAATAATTACTTTAGTATGAATGTTTTTGACCCCCAGATAACACTGCAACGCTGCTCCACAATTGAATTCGCCACACAACGTTCACTACAGTAGCTGTGCAGGTGACTCATCTAATGCTAATGGTAAGTTAGCATGATAACGGGACAAACTAACCAACTATTTCATTACAATGAAATGACATAATGTGACTAGAAGTAACATGAGTCAAACTTTCATACATTTCCTCAGTCATAAACATGACTTCTGCCTCAGTCACATCAGACAGATTTGGTCGGCAATAAATGGCCCCATGTTAATTACCAACTTTTTTTTGTTATTGTTTTCATTGAGAAACAGCAGAAATTACATACTGTGGGTGTACAGAAAACACTGACCACAGTTGTGATTTTTGTTTTGTGTATTTACTGTTTACATTGTCAGCTAAACACTTATAAAATGTTTTATACCATCTGCACAAAGTTTGACATGCTGTAAACCAGACATAAGATTTCGTTGTCTGTTTATTGTTTTATTTATTGACATTATTTTGATTCTACCTTAGAACTGTTCTGCCGTTTGGCAAATGTTGTAATGTTCTGACAATAAAGCCCATTTTCCACTGCACAAAAAAAGAGCTAACACCCGCTAACATCTGGCTTTTGATGTAATGGGAAAGGTTACAATCAGCATTCACACCCAGGTCAAATGAATCTGCAGTAGCCACTGGTATTTTTTGGCTCCAGCATAGATGGAAACACAACATCCATGTGAACGCACTAATTTCAGTCCCTAAACTGGCAAGATACAATAACACGCTGCAACAAGATACCGTCCGTCTCCACCCAAACAGCTCAAACATTGATTCAATTTAGTGTGCACTGAGTTTAAAAAAGAAAGTGAATAAGTAAGAAATATGGTGGAAAAGGGGTATTTATAATAGTTTAAACCACAGTAAACCATTTCATTTCTTCAACTTCTAGTCAGGGGAAAAAAATCAGCCTTTAAACTTAAAAGAATTAATCATTTGACTTTTTTGGTATGATTATTATCAATATTGACTAATATGAAAAAATTTATTGTGCTAACATTTTTTTTATCCACATCCTTTTCCATGTCATTTCTTGCAAGTGTAGTCATCACAAGAAGTGGTTTGGAGCCAGACATACTCATCAGGGATTTCTTCTGGTCAAAGGTCTTGTCTGACGCCTTGTCACCGGTCAGCCATGTTATATGAAAATCACAACTTCAAGACTCCCGATCACAAGACGGCAAGTTGTGCAGTTTAACTAGTGAAGCGATTTGACAGCTGACATAATAATATGCAGCAATGTATAAAGCTGTTTGCTATCAACAGACTATACCTTACACTTCAGGTACAGTCATTCGCTGGCATTGTATCTGTACTTGCATTAACTAGAGATAGTCATGTGAGGTTGGTATGGGTGTTTACCTGCTGAAGTAGACAGTGAGAGAAAGGAAGGACAGTTCTCCCAAACCAGAGCTGATACTGGCATAGATCACTCCTAGAAACACAGTGATAGAGAGGGAGGGACAGAGATGCCTTAAACATGCTGATGAATACCAGAAAAGTAATAAACACAGGGGGGTTATATCTTAGTACTGCCAACCATGTTTTTTAAATAGCTATATAACAGCCTAAATTTAAAGAGCAATGAAATATTTCAAAATAAATAACTTGAAATAAGCTAATTAAAGAAGTAGTCTATTGAACAGAGTGACTATTAACAGTTTAAGTGACAGAGCATAGGAGGGAAAAGACTCTGCACCAAACATCACCCCATATATCAGTTGTCGCACAGCCACCTGTCAGCAGTCGTCTGGTTGTTTACACCACAGCTTATTTTTAAACAAAATGTAATAAAACCTGTGAATACACATACTCTACTGGTCAGCGAGAGATTCTGCTCCTCTGCTCTGTTCTAAACACATATAGAGCTCTGTTTTTGTCTGTTTGTGTGTGTGCGTGTGTGTATGTGTGCGCACGTGTGTGAGCTGGTCTCGCTCTCTGTTTAGACACAACTGGCAAATATATTCCACATATTTGCCAGTTGTGTCTAAACAGAGAGGGGTGTATAATCATAACCAGATCATTGTTTCTTCTCAATATATTTCTTTATATCCTCCATTAAAGATAATCAGTGTGTTTTCATGACAGATAACGTTGCAACTTGCAAAAAGAAACAGACCAGACACCAGAGCTATTGCTTCAGATCAGAGAGCCAGCCGTGGAGCTCAGGGCTGAGACTAATGACTGCCGAACTCAGGGCCAGCTTGGTGAACCACAAAGCCCACTATCCACCGTCGAACTCACGGTGGTGGAGCGAAGCCTAGGGGTTGCTTGGGTTCGGCCCACTTGACATGCTGCTGTGTTGTGCTATGGCCTATTCATGGGCTGGAATTTGTTATTTACGTGACAACGCCTGAACGCAACACAGGCTCCGCTCCAATTAAGTGTGTGTACACTGCCGTGCTGCCTTCTTTTGATGGTCATTTACACACTGTCCATAACAATAACTATAGCACTATTCGGACGGGATTAGTTTTACATGGGTACGTGGGGTAATGTCACTTTACCACAGGACGTCAGTAATATTAATAGCCGATTCGCACAGGATAAGAAATATCAGTAAAACTACCACAAGTGGGAGGGGTAAATCCATTCACGCACCGCAGTACCCTCCTGCCGTCATGTGCGTATGATTGGACTGTCAAAAGCACCATGAAATTGAGTTCTAATAATATTAGAATTTATTATTAGTCGTAGTAGTATTAGTATTAGTATTATTATTATTTATTATTATTTTTTTTTTACAAAAAACCCCCCACAAAAAATAACTGCTTATTGCTGACGCAATATGAACGTGACACTCGGATGAAAACACCCGTTCTGACCTCACTGAAGTGCCAGGTACGATCAACTTCTGCCTCGCTATCTGAGCAATGTTTGGATACTTCAGTGCGTAGTTCTCCACCACAAGAGTGGAGTGGTGTCTCATTCTGGTAACGTTTCATCTCTTCTTCAAAAAGGGTAGGCTGGGAGGCAGCAGGTGCAACACTCTCCCTGTATGTCTCCCCGAACAGGTCACACATCGCGGACAGCGCAGTGGGTGGTGTTGGCGCAGCAGGCTCCTCCGTCGGCGCCTCTCCCTCCCGCTGCGTCCCGAACGGGATTCGCCGTGATATACAACATTATTGATAGTATTAATTAATTATTAATGATATTCGAATTATCAAATTTAGGTTCGAACTTATAAAAAATTATATATATTCAAATATATTTCTAACTTCGATTTTTTTTTTGACAGCCCTAACACACATATTTACTGCTGGTCTATTCGCACGGGATTAGTATTACCTGAGGTAATTGTCCTGGACCCTTTTACAGAAGGTAAAAGTCGCGGTAATCTTTACTGACATCGTGCGGTAATGATTACTGACATGGCACATTCGGACTAAAATCTCTGGTAATTATTACTTTACCCCACATACCTATGTAAAACTAATCCCGTCCGGATAGGGCTTAAGTCAGATAACAAACTGCATCAGGCTCGGGTTGGGTTCGCCCGTGTAATATAATGGTAGGAAAAACACTGCTATCTCTTGTCTGTTCTACCAGGAGACCCGCAGTGTGTTGGAGATCTTCCTGGAGAACGTGATCCCTGATGCTGTCACCTAACTACAACAAGCACGCTAAGAGGAAGACTGTGACCACTGTGGATGTGTGATGGTAATTAATATCCGGAAATCTGCATAATACAAGTCAGTGTTTGTCCGATGGGGCGCCCCCCTGATATAATGGTACGGGACTTGTGGTATTTGTGATACCAGCAAAAACTTGGCATATGCCAGCTAAACTCTGAATAGCTGAATCATTTATATGGCATTAGTAGATCTCATCATGTTATGTCCTCTTGCCATTTAATACAAAACTACTCAGCAGTGCCTCATTTGTTTTTAGAATTTAATCATTTCCTGAAAATGATGCCAGTTGACTTACTGGTGAACTGTACTAAACTGCAGCTGAAATGCTTAGGCAATGGACAATTTTACACTTTAGTGAAAGATAAAATTGTGCTCTACTCTATTATTTCAATATATGCCATCAATACAGTTAAAAGTTTCTCTTAAGGCTTCAACACTATAACCGGACCTTTTAACTAAAAAATCCAAACCATGAAGCCATCTATCAAAATCAGAACCATTTCCCAAAACTCTAAATACTAATCACTTCTCTTTTTCTGCAAAACATACAAAAGTGGCCAAATAAATCATTCATTGCAGTGTGTTCATTCAGCAAACACATACTTTTAATATGATTAACTCAAGTCATCACAACCTCAACTCAAACCGCATACTTTTCTCCAGGTGCAAACACTTGAAATTGTTAACATGCCACTCAGAACTGCACAGGTCAATAAAAAGGGCCTTGATGCATGTCCATGTGCTTAAGAACAATGGATCCAATGTCAAGTTAAGTTAATTTTATCTATATAGCCTAATATCACAAAACACAATTTGCCTCAGGAGGGCATCATATTCTGTGCAGCATGCGACACCCTCTGTCCTTATACTATCACACCTGATATGAGAGAACCGTTCCAAAAAACCCTTTACAGTAACGGGGAAAAAAAGGGGAGAAACCTTAGGAAGAGTAACTTAGGAGGGGGTCCCTCTCCCAGGATGGAGAGACGTGCAATAGATATCACATGTACAGAAAGACAACCCATAGAACATATGTGCAATGCCAAATTTGCAAGACAATAGAGAGAAAGAGGAAGACAACAACAACGAAAGACAAATAATCTCGGACATCATTCCACTGTATTTCATCATGCATTCATACATGGAAGAACTATGAGAGAAGCTGGACAGCCAGTACAACCCAACCTTTGTTGTTACTGTGGTATATGTTATGTAATGCATATCGCCTGGAACTTCACTCTCAGTGACGTTTTTAACCACAGTGATGTATAACCAAGCAGTAACCCAGAGGCAGCCATCTGTTGGAGGGGAGCAGACTTCTCACAGCATAGCAAGAGACTGCCCTCATGAATAATACAATAACAATAATGCCATCTGTCTCAGTGGAAATTCAAATGCGCATAGTTAAAGACCAGGTAGTGTTCCAATGAACTGACAGCATCAGCATTTCCACCAATGGTGGATACCTGTGGTGATGTGACTGTGGAGTCTATGCAGGGCTGAATAAGGCACTCAAGGGATTTTTCCCACGCTGCCTGGAAAGACCAAACGTTTGATGCTGTTGAGACAACATGGCCTGACCCAGACCCGAGACCAGATTGTTTGAGCACTGATGCTGATGCTGAGGAATACATTTGCTGTATTTGGAATTAAAGCTTCTCTTTATTGTTACATGTTTCGTAAGTGTGACACTGCAAAGGTCAGCAGCATACAGTAGTACACCCTACTTCACTGTAAGAGCTATACAGATTATTATCATCATATCACTATCATCATCTGCTCAGCAGGCTCTGGTGCTTCTCTTATTCACTTCTACCTAGATAATCACAGAATTAGTGGAGCACTTTCCTTTCTATTGAGCAGTGGATTGAGATTTTGGACACTTTATCTATCATCTTCCTTTTGCATCATCACTGACAGTTGAAATGTCGCACAGCTGTTATTTTTGTATACATAGAGAGTCGGAGCAACAGGGTTGTAAAAAGGGGCCAAGGGGGTCATTTTTGACCCAAAACCTTCTTGAGGGTAATGTGGCTCTGTTGTAGCAGGGGCCTGGGCTCACAGGGTCATATCAGGGGTAGCCCTGCAGGACCCCATGAGTAATGTGATACATTTCTGCTGGCTGCATCATTATGAGATAGAGAAAAGTTGTGATGTTATCCTTTAAGCTGTACTGGACTCTGACCTCTGTTGTGCTGAGAAGGAGAACAAGGACCTTGATATTAAACATATAAGTAGCAGTCAGTGGTCTAACTGACTGCTTACATTCATTTGCCTCCTTCTCTTAAACTCCTCTCCTACAGAATTTACATACATTTACAAACTTGAACTTCAATATCAGTTCACTGATACACAGTGTTGGCATGGTGACAAATATTTGGTGCAGCACGTCATGATAAGACTAAAATGGTATCATATTTCTGTGTAAAAACCACAGCTGCACCCATTCCGATAAGATAACAGGAAATATATCAAGCTTTATCTAATATGCATGATCAGGATTCTTGACAGTTTCACCACCAATAATGATAAGAGCTATAACTAAAATTAATAAGAGCTCTGTAAAAAACGGCAGCTTTACCTAGAATGCTCATCCACACAGCTGAGGAGAAGGACACAACGAGGAAACTTGTTGCTGCCATGATGGCACAGATCAATACTCGGATACTAGAAAAAAAGAATTAGGCAGTAAATGCACAATATTCATGAAGAACGTCCAATGACAGACTGCGCTGTAAACAAGTCACAACAAGACAACCAGTCTGTGTTTACTGTCAATAAAAATTCAATAAAATCTGGCCAGTGAATGAAATAATACCCATAACACGGATTACACTGGCTATACTATAATGGTAACCATCAATGAAACTGAAAAACTGCACATTTTTCAAAATAACAGACCACTAGAGAAGGGAAGCATTGTGGAGACACAGAAACATGTTACCAGTACCAAGCGAAGTGTTGCGTTTCATTGACTGTTAGTAGAAGTGACTGGAAAGAACTAGTGAATGGAATGTATATGATGGTAAATGTATCAAGACAACAGGTAAACATAAAACAAGTGTTGAGCTTGCATTAACCAGAGAGCAGGGGACATGAAGCCCTGGCACTGGACACTATTTGAAAAATTTGCTGTAACAAAAAGTCAAATGAGGCACCAAAGTAAGCACCACATTCACACGTGGTTAAAAATGTTTCTGCATAAAGCACAACATGATGGGATGTCTGGTGCTAATGATTATCTTACCTATAAGGCAGTTTGTGGATCACAAAGGGAGCAGACAACTTGATGACAAGTGTTGGGAGGATGTCAGCTAACAGCACTGCCTGGTGAGAAAAGCATGAGAGTCCTCTTTAAAATCATTAGTGTTGATATGCCGAACATACTGAGGGAAATTATGTTAGAAGATTTCCGTGGAATATATTTTCTAATTGTGCAAAGCAGTGGCTTCCAATGCTATTGTGGTGGCAATATATAAAGAACATAAAACATAACATAAAAAACATTCTAAAAAGCAGCCATTATTGCTAAATGAGGACTGAGGATATCCTGTGAAAATACACACAACTAGGGCTGGGCAATATCGCAAAAAATATTATACGATCATTTTCCCCGTATTGACCGATATCAATATTTATCACGATATATAATTTTATAATGCTGTAAGTTTGAAAAGTATCCTCAAAATGTATGACACCTGAAGAAACCAAATGATTTTCCAGCTTTCCATGGCACTCGTCCTCAAGCTGGGGCAGAGCAGTTTGAGAAAAATGTTTCCTGACTGGGATCTCGTACCTGCAGTCTCGCACTTTAAATAATTTCTTGAACCTGTCTTTATCCACGGTACTCATGGGCATCATGTCCTTTTCGTTTGCTTCTCATACAGGGTTACAGCAACAAAAGAGGACACTACTGACTGCTGATTTGGTGCAGCCCCGCTAGTGCTGCCTACAGCAGCAGAAGTGCTAGGCCATTTGGTAGCACTTGTTGGTGGACTTACTGAGTTGTGGCCCGGATTTTCATGCTCTTGGTGCAGTCGCTGGGATGCCCCTTTTTCAGATGAGGGGAAAGATTTGTTGTGTTTCCCGTCCTGGTTGGCATCAACCGACGACATATTTTGCAGACCATCTTCATCCGTGTGTCGTCACCTTTCAAGTAGTCAAGCCACTTCAAATTACTGATGTTGTGTTTTTATTCATAATTTTGTCCATTTTTTTTAATGGTAATGCAAGCGCTTCCGCAGCGTAACCACCGCTTTGCTCCCCACTTCCACTCATTTTCCCCTCTTTTCGTTATGTCCATGCTACTTTCAATTCCTCCTCACCTCGGCACATTCACTTCAGCACAAACTTTGCAGTGAAAAATGGCTGCATACAATGACGCGCATCCCCAACATTGAAGACTGACTGACAGCTGTCTGTTACATTCTGCTGCATGACACGCTGTTTGGATCCATCTAGGTCTATCCATATAGAGTAAAAATGACGATAGTTTATCATCGTCATCTACATATTTTATTGCAATACCGTTTCGAGATTGTTTTATGGCCCAGCCCTACGCACAACATCTCTCTTGTGAGAAACTAACAATTCCCTGTCAATATCAGACTGGTTAAGGTTATTCCCTGTTGCATGATAAAAACTATTTACCGCAGTGGAGACAGGACTGCAGTCATAGCGACTACTGTTGCTGCTGTTCCCACCTTGGAAATCCACGGCTGATGAGGCTGAAGTCTACATATAAAAAAAGAAAAGGGTAAGAGTGAATAATTTGCTTTCTTTACATGTATACAGACTTTAAAGCTTCAAGCCATTAGCAATAACAAAGGTCACTGTAATACTAAATATTTAAATAAAAAATTGCCTTCTTACAGGTGCTGTGGAGTTTTCTGACTCTTGTTTTTTGAGGATGTCATGGGCAGCGCTCAGCATAATCACATATGCAAAGTTGTTGCACAATCCAAGGAGCCTGAGGAGGTCATCCGAAGAGGAGGTAGAAAATAAAAGGTAAGCAGATTCAGATTCAATAACTGACAACTAAGCCACAAGCTGTTTCTCTTTGGGGATAGCCCCTTCCTTACTCCCTACCCCCTACTTCCAGCTCCCTTGCTCATTTCCAAACTCGGCCTTCATTTTGATCTCAACTACACACCTGTAAAGTTTCATGACTGCATCTTGCATGGTTGAAACGCTATCAGACAGGCAGTCATATAAATAGGGTTTGGTAACATACTTGGTACTTTTAAGGGTACAGAACAGTTACATCAGCAGAGTACCGATTCATGTTACATCCATTGGTGCCAAATTTTGGTAACTGAGAGCGCATCTGGGTGAGAACGCTGGTATTAGACAATGCGGCAAAGCACCCTGAAGCCTGCGAGCCAGCCACAAAGCTCTATGGCTGGCAACAAAGCTCCATGGAGCCGTTGAGTTTGACTTCAACAAAGGGAAAACAATACCAGCCATTATGATCTTCTTTTTGCTGGTAAAAATGACATTAGAATCTTAATTATAATTTGTATGGCCCTATAATTTCCGTGATGCGAGAGACACGTACGCAATTGTGGAATCTGGTAATTGAGTGGAATCAGCTGTAAAACACGGAGCATCACGGAATTTGCAAAAATGTGAGTGCAATAGCTTGTGTGCATTCACATGACTATTACGACCCCCAAAATTCAGATGGAAGGCAGAAAGTGATTAATTCATATGTGTGAAATGGACACAAAAGAATGTGACTACATAAAAGGGTTGGAAAAGGGTTAGTTCACTTATTCAAATCAGGTTACTGTTCTATTGTTGAAGTGTTCTCTAATGACAGTCCATGGGGCAACTTGCTCATTTTCATTGTCTTTAAGGATTGAGGTTGCCTTTTCCATGGACAGTAGGTCTAAAAAGTCCTTCAGCCAATTGTGTTTATTATAGCAGTCTGGCTTGCATATCTTCCAGTTCATAAGTATTGTCCTCTTCAGAGACAGAAAAGCTAGAGCAATAATACGTTGAGTAATTCTTGCATGTATACTTTCCACTCTACTTCCCAGTAAACTTACAACAGAACATTGAGGAATGTGAATATTCAATATAACTTTTAAAATATCAATTACTTCAGACCAAAATTGTTCTACCACTGGGCAGAACCATAGTAAATGCATAAAATTACCAAGCTCACCACAGCCATGCCAACACAGTTCAGAAACATTTGGGTCCATTTTTTTAAACTTACCTGGTGTAATATAAGCTCTGTGTATAATTTTAATTTGGATAATTTTATATCTTACATAACTGGAAATGGATGTTGAATGCTTCCGTATTGAATCCCACTGATCTGCATTGAGAGATGAACCAATGTCCCATTCCCATTGTGACTTGCTGGAAGTAGTGCTGTCAGGCAGGGATAAACTTAATAACTTATAAATAACTGAAACTATTCCTCGTCCAGTAGCAGCAGCTCTCAGTTTACCATCAAGGACAGTATTAGATCCCAACATGATTCCTTTAGATTTAAAGTTTTTAAAAACAGATTTCAACTGAAAATATTGAAGATATGCAGAATCATTCAGGCCAAACTGCATTTTAATCTCCTTAAATGGTATATAGTATAGCGGATAAGCTCTCAAATTATGAGGAATTGTGCACTTTTTGAAAAAAAACATGAAATTTCTACCATAGTTAGTACATACCATAAGGTTTATTTTCAGATGTGGAGGGATGACAGATTTGACCTCTGAGGCCCAGGAGAAGTCAAATTCAAGATGGCCACCAATAATATTCAAATATGCCTAACTTTGGAACCGAACACAATAGAAAAACATTTAAGGTGTCATTTCCAACTAAGTTTAGGGTGCCCATTCAGTTAGTGATACTCTTGACATCAATGGAATTCAAGAAAATGCATTTAGGTCAAGGTCAAGGTAAAAATTTGCTTACAAAAAACTAAACATTTTCCCCTCTTTTTTATTTTTTATTTATTTATTTTTTTAATGAACACCAAAAATACTTCAATTACTTTTACTCTCATGTATTATTCAGTAATTAGTTATCATTTACTGGGATGTGTGGTTATTTTTTCCTGCTAAGCACATCATTATTAGCAGATGGCCCTCTAGTGCATCAGTAGCTAATGCCAGTAGCGATGTAGTCAGTAGGCAACATGATGAGTAGGCTACAGTATGCACAAGTGACGAGACAGAGAGCACTTTTGACATAAATATCCTACCAGGTAAACTGACTGACTTTGTACAGACAATGGTTTTGTTTCCCAGTTAAGAGCGATCTTAAGACTTAAGAGCACAGTTAAGAACGTCTTTGGTAAGAAGGGTTGCTAAGATACGAGTGTTTCCCAGATGCGCTCTTAATGCCCTTCTAAGGATCGCTCTTAAGATCACTCTTTAAGAAGCTCTTAACAGGAGCTGTCCACTACTGCGGTGCTGAAACAATCGATGTTAGGCAAATCGATCACCCACCACTTAATCAGCGCCTAAGTCACACACAGCACTGCTACCTAATGTACTAATTCCCTGCTGCTCGTGTGTATGTGTGTTCTAATAATTCTAATGAAAAACTAAGACGATAAATATTTGTTAATGATCTATTTTCATGATGAAAACAAGACTGCAACTAAATAAGAAGTAGTCTTGGTATGAGAATCATAAGAAAATGTATTATATTTAAACAAAAAAACAGAGACGCCTTGCTGAGGCCAGTGCCATCTCCCACCACGTCCAGGATATATCCATATATATACACATATATATATACACACACATATATATATATATGTACACATATATATACATACATACACACACATTATAT